GCTGTGGTTAGTGGGCATTTGACTTTATTATTTATTATGATTTGAGAGAGTGAAGGAGCACAAAGTTCCACTTCTATATCTTTTGGTGGAAAGAAAACATAGAAAGACTAGGCATGTTATCTCACGTATACTTTAAAAGAAAAATAGAAATGAAATAATTATAGAGGACATATTTGAATATGGGTCTCATAGAGATAAAACCAACTCCAAATTTCTTCTAACAATTTATACAATGAATTAGTATCTTTCCCAATGGAAGAAATTTAAATTTAATAACATATTTATCGATGGTAATAGGAGAGCCTTCTTGTAATTAGGGAGAGTGTGTATCAGAGTGGTATCAGAGCTTGCACCAATATTCTGTTAGCCTGAAGTCTTGTAATGTAGCTTTTTAAGTTGTCTTCTTAGTAATAATATGAAGTTCTAAGTTTCTTTCTTTCTCCAATCTCTATCTTAATTATGTAGTTTAATTTTTTGCTATTCTGTTTAAATCTACTTTGCTTATCAAGTTACATCTAGAGGTAGGAAACGAAACTAGGCTGTACTCTCTCTATGAAGCAGCATGCTAGAATTGTGGGCGTGGTTGTGACACGGCATCGGTGCTGTCGGGTTCAAGTCCTTAGTCTAAAGAGAAAGCCACATTCAGACAGTGTGTGTTTAATTAGAGAGAAAAGAGTTAAATGGTTGATGAGTAAAGTAAAGAATAAACATATATAGTAGAATTTAACAAACATAAGAAGAGATAGAGAAAGAAAAAAGATAAATATTAAAAAAATTCAAATGATAAATATGTCTAGATTAATTCAAGAAACTTGTAGGCTAACTGCTAAGAGTTACAAGCACTTACTCCATTTACCCAAAGACTCTTACCAAGTCACCAACAAATGAAATTTGGCTTCTATGCTAAATTTTGTAATAGATATGGTATATCCATTAGAGGATATGAATACAAATATCTTAAATGTTCAAAAATAAATTGAAAAAAAAAATCATATCTTTGTATATAAATAATATTCAAAGAAAAAATAAAAGTCCAAATCATAGCGAGAGGACTCCTCACAAATGGGATTGGACAAATAATTTAAATATGATGATGAAAAATGAAGGGTTTAACAAATATTCTTCAACCAAAAATATTTAATCCTTCAGATAGGGTTGTGTTAAGACAACAAATACAAGCCTTATCACAATAAGTAAAGGATCCTCGGATAAAGTTTGCTACTTTACAGCAAGCAAATCAATTGTTAGATAATAGTACTTTTTTATATAAACTGCTATTCTAATAATAGTCAGAATGATTCATCGTTAGAAATAAGTGAGTATGAAGTTACTCTCATCATAAATATGACAGATGTCCAAATGGTAGATGGGGATCTTCAGTTATCAGGCCACTACCACAGCCTGAGTAAAACCCACCTCCGCAACGAAGGCAAACTAGGGGTAGAACTAGCCACTGGGAGCGAATATCCCAAACTAACCAGTGAAATTACATGTTTGGTATACCAGAACTAACCAGATCTAAGTCTATGACATCCTCTTTGCAAAGAACGTGAGGGGTTCTCCCGTCTCATATGCAGACTAAGTACAAATACATGTATGATGAGGCCGCAATACATAAACATGAAAGTACGAGAGGACTCTACTTTAATATAGATAACTTCTCGATTAGAGAACAAACAAATTATGTAAATAGATGGACCCAACATATTATTGGGATCATGCATTCCTACGATTGGAGCACAACAAATTAAATTCATAGAATATATAACTTCCCTATTTGACGGTATGACCGCTGATTGGATATAAGTTAGTAGAACTTAAAACAGATGATAATAAAGAAAAAATATAACACCAGAAATGGCTCTGACTATAGTCATGAATCAACTATGTAAAGATATTTATGGTTAACTATTAGAGAAACCAGACCCTGATATAGAAAGAAAACTCCTATAAATGAGACTATGTCAGATTTGTTACATAGAAGAATGTTTAATAGATTACCTCAAATTAGTCTATCGTCTTAAAAACAAGCAACGAATGGACTGGTGGACAAAACATGAATACTCTTTTAGAAGAATCATATCTAAAAAAGGTCCCTGAACAAGGTCTAGTGGTGTTGTTCAACTCTTATAATAAGAAAAATAGAACAATACTGTCAGCTACCAAAGACCTTTAAACAAAGAAAGAGTCAACTTAAAGATAACGGTATTGGTCAATCTTGTTGTGACAAGATCCAAGGATATCCTTTGGAATATGGTTGTTTTAAGTCATACCAAAAAAAGGAAGCCTTACCAAAGAAAATATCAAAAACCGTATAAGTTTAGAAAACGAAAGTTTTCTAAACAACAAAAATGGGGAAAACACAAGAAAAGAAAAAATTAACAATAAAACCCCGAGACTTAAAAAAATGATTGTAAATGTTTCATATGCCAAGAAGTTAACCACTATGCAAGTGAATGTCGTAAAAAGAAAAATAGCGATGAAATAATTATAGCGGACATATCTGAATTTGGGTTGGATTTGATAGAGATAAACCAACTCTAAATTGATTCTGACAATTCGTATTATGAATTAGTAACGAAATATGACATAGGTAGTGAAAGGGATTATGAGTATCCTCAAATTTTTATGATGACTAAAGAATCTAGCAGTATATTAAAAGAAGATATAGAGTCTTCTGAAAATAATATACATGATCTCTAAGGGGAGATATTTTCTATTTCAGATGAGGATACATAACAGCTAAAATTAGCCATTCCCATACCTCATTGAAGTGATGTTTTAAAGGAAAATAGGCATTTTTTAATACCAAATTGCTTAATAAACATCATTATATATTTGATCTTGGTCGATGGGAACATCGAACTACATGGGGAAAATAGCTTTAAAAGCATTCCACTCCTCAATCAAATAAAAATAAATAAATTAAAAAATATATAAAGATATGAAATATCTTCATCTCAGACTCATCCAAGTAAAGATTACTGGACAATTCAAGTTTGGTACCGATACAACTACTATAGTACTCTGTATGGATGAAAGAATAATTTCAAATCCATTAGATGTCTTAGTAGGAGGATATAAGTCTCATCTTGCCAATAGAATTTTTAGTGTTAATATACACCTAGACTATTCTGTTGCACTTAATGACCCTCACATATGTGATGTGATAAAATTAATTATCAATCTCAAAGAGATTGAAATAAAATAAGAAAGTCAAGTGCTAGGAATACAGTGGGAATCTACAGTAGCACTCAGTCAAACATGTACCTTCTTTAGCAAAATGTCTAGAGAAGTAATCAGTCTATTTGAGATTCAAGCAGCTTAATTATAACATTTCAATTACCAATGATTTTGAAAAACTATTCATACAAGTTTATCACCATTATGTAGTGATAACCCCTTGCTACATTTAAAAAAAAGCCTTAGATATTGTACAATCAAATTAAAGAATGAGTATAAAGGGAAATATATCAGGGTTAGTCCTATAGCGGCTAACCTTGAATACAAAAGGAGTTTAAAACTCAAATAGTGAAGCTCTTCAAACTCAATTTGATTCAAAAAACTACAACCAAACAATTCTTCTCCTACTTTCTTGTTAAGAAACCATGCTGAGAAAAATAGAGAAAATGCAAGGATGGTTATTCTCTATAAAAATGTTAATTAAGTCACCAAATTTAATGGGTTCTTCATCCCCAACAGTGAATTGTTATTGCACAAAATTCGAGATGCCAGATGGTTCAGTAAAGTTGATGCTAAATCAGCCTTTTGGCAGATCAAAATAAAGTATGAAGAAAACAAAAGACTAACGTCATTCAATTGTCCTAATGAAGGGCATTATGAATGGAACGTTATGCTATTTGGTCTCAAAAATGCTCCTCAAAATTTCGAAATGGATGAATAGTATTTTTTGTTATTTACTATTTGTTGTTGTCTACATAGACGACATCCTTGTGTTCTTAAAAACTAAGGAAGAATACAAAGAACACCTGATAACAATATCTTAGCTATTGCTCAATCATGATATTATTTTATCCCCTAAAAAGATAACTCTAATGAAAGAGGATATCAAATTTTTAGGGAAAATATTGTGGCTAATAAATGATTTTTTGTTCCTTTATTTCCTTTTCGATGTTGACAATTTCTTGTAATTGTTCGCCATTGAGTGTAATTTTAATTTGAGTACAAAGTTCCACTTCTATGTCTTTTTGTGGAAAGAAAGCATAGAAAGACTAGGCATGTTATCTCAAGTTCCTCAAAAAGGCTTTTGCTTATAAACCCAAAATCTTACTCTCATTTACTTTAATATCTATGTAGTTCCATATGTTCTCATGGACTCAAAGCATAAAGTTTATTTAGCTTTAAACCAAAAGTACATAGAATATAACGCTTATGGCTACAAACAATAGAATGCATAGGTACATAATATATAGTTTATAGATATATTTTGTAGAGTGTGTAACTACATAGTATAGTTACATGCTTGAGAGTGTGTAGCTACATACCGTATTGCATGTAGCTATACATTTTGTATTCTATGCCTTGAGTTTAAAGGTAAGTAAATTTTGTATTTTGGCTGTATGAGAACATATAGAACGTTGTGGGTTGTAAAGTAAATAAGGGTAAAACTTTGGATTTATAAATAAATTAATACCCCTGCCTCAACGTACCAATGCATGCGTTTCAAAAGTTCTATGGCATGGGCACCTATATCACTAACGCCAGGTAACTTGCATGATTGTTTTTCCATACATTCCGTCATCTTATCACTAAAGTTGTTGTCTGTGGACAAGGGTACCAAGGATCATGTGAATATATTCGTTATAGAGATGGGTGGAAGATTGAGTCCGATCTCTCTCGGGAAAAGCAATGAATGGGGTGAGTTGAGACAGATGAATGCCCTCATCCAGCCTATAAGTATAGCAAAAGGAAACCAAGCAGAAGATAGCATCTCATCACAAAGAGTAGTGAAGCTAGCACGTGAACTGGAAGAGAGGCCTTACATGAAGATAAAGAGCCCATCTTTGATAGCCAAGGATGACTTGCCTATGTTGCTTGCTATTGGAGGTCCTTGAGCCTGACCAAGAGCCTCAATACGGGCTCATAGGCAGTCATCTTGGCTAGTTTAAGTGGCTCTTATTTGTCATGCTAGGCCTACATCTCTTCCTTGTTTGCAATGAGCGAAGCTTGATATCGTCGATATGGGTAAGCGTGGTTCTAACCCTAGATAGACGCAATGTAACTGAAGGAACGTGCCACTATAGTACTAAAACTTCAGAGCTTTGATGATGATTATAATTTTATTTTATAATATGACTTCCTATATATGTTTTGTCCTTTTTATGAGCTAAAATTAGAACTCATGTGATGATACTTTTTTTTTTCCTGTTTTAATCCACTTTGAATATGCAGCCAGTGGGAATTTAACTTGCGTTTCTCCGATACTACATGAAAGTACTCTAATACTATATGAAAACCCTAATTTAAGGAAAGGATTGAGGGCTCTAATTTTATATTCTAATAATAACCATGTAAATGCACAATACTAACTTAACAATTAATGCGTAAAGTATATACCATTTTGAGAAAATACAACCACTCATCGGGGTTAATTTGCATCTTTCTCACGGAAGACACCATGAATATTTAGATCTATCAACTGCGCGACCAGTCGCCTTATGTATGTTACGTGTAAGATGATGATGATTACAATTCGCGATTATTGTTATTGAAGCTGTTAATAACCTTTGTAGTCATTGCCTTTTTGACTCATAACAATCTTAACTCATGTTGTTGCTATTTTGTTGGCCCAAAACTTTGGCCCATTACCAAAAGGCCCATTTCACTCACTTATCTGATGTGCCCTAGCCCCTCTCTTCCTCTCTTACCCGATGGTTCTAAATCCCCTCCGATCTCTGTGATCTGATGGCCGCCGCTGTGAGTCTCATCCGTAGGTCGGCTCCCTCCTTCGTTTTTCTCCTCTAGCCTCTCACCCGTGTCAGCTGCCCCCTTCCCTATATATGGCGAAGGGTTGGTAGTAGCTCGGTGTGGGAAAGAGCGTGGGTGTCGAGATCTTGAGCTCTGTGCTTTACCCCCTTTGTGCGATCCTCTTCCCTAACTGAGCTATGTGCTCCTTCGAAGGCTCTGTGCTTTCAACTCCTTGTGAGATCTGAGAGAGACAGTAGCTTCTCCCCCTTTGTGTTCTTGGTGGTGCACTGTGAGAGAAGAACAGGACTGATTCAGCAGGCTTCTGAGCCAAACAGCGACGTTGATTCACAACAGTGGTATCAGAGCGAGGTTAGTGTCGTTGTGTTTCAAAACCGTCGCCGATCGCCGCTGGATCGCCACTGGACCACCGCTGGTCGCCGCCCCTGGACCTCGCCGGACCGCCGCCGCGTGGGTAAGGTCGAAACCCTCCCCTAGGGTTTCGCTCAGGTGAGGTGACAGAAATCTGTTTCTGTAGTTCTTAGCTTGATCTTGTCTGCATCGCCTTTTTTTTGCTGTTCCTCTGCATTCAATCTGATTGAATAATTATAGTTCAATCAATGGTATCAATTACAGATTAATCTCTGGCTTTGTTGAAAAAATTACAGTAAATCTTTGGGTCTATTAAATTTTTTTTTAGAAATTAAAATACTGTTTTTTGGGTGTGCTCGTGTGAAAGATCAAAGAGATTGAAACAAGAACTTTGTGTTCATCGTTCTTCTCATTTGTTCGTGCTAGTTGCTTCACACGTTTCGAGCCGGATAATTACCGAAATCGTGCTATTTGCTGTTTGTTTTTCCTGTGTGAAAAATGTCCGCTGCTAATCAATATAGTATGATTCAATATGGTATGGCTCCGTTCAACGAAAAATCTGATTTTAGCATTTGGAAACAAAAAATAAAATGCATCTTAATTCAACAGAAGTCCTTTAGGGATGTTGGTCAGACTTATTTAACTTCTGACACTGAAAATAAACGGGCGGAAATGAATGAAAATGCTTGTTCCACAATTTATTTGAACTTATCTGACTCTGTGATTAGAAAAGTTAGAATTTTAGAATGTGCTAAAACCCTTTGAGATAAACTTGAAGAACTCTATACTGAAACCTCTTTGCCCAGTAAAATGTTTTTGCTTAAAAAAAATTTTAAATTTAGATTGGATATGTCTAAGGACATTGAGGAGAACCTAGATGTTTTCACAAAACTTATTTCAGATATTAAGTTAACTGGTGATAAACATATAGACAACTATACTCCTATTGCCCTTCTAAATGCTATTCCTGACTCATATAGTGATGTAAAATCTGCTATTAAATATGGTAGAGATGATATTACCCTTGACATTGTGATTAATGGTCTTAAGAGTAAGGAATTAGATTTAAAACATTCTAGGGGAAATAAAAATTCTGGTGAGGTTATGCATGTAAGGGGTAGGCCTCATAATAGGTTTAATAACCAAAAGAATCCTAGTAATGGGGAATCAAGTAAGAAAAAATTTGAAAATGGAAGGGGTAGATCTAAGTCCAGGTTTAAAGCTAAAAAATGCTATAATTGTAATGAAACTGGTCACTTTATTAGAGATTGTCCTAAGCCTAAGAAAAATCAGCAAAATGAACATGCTAATATGGTTGTCTGTGAGGGCAAAATGGGCGAGATTTTTATGATTAATAATCTGTGTGATTATGCATATTTAAACTCTATGTTATCTGATCCTTTGTGTAAATCAGATTGGTTGGTAGACTTTGGTTGTATTTTTCATATGTCTCCTTTTAAAAACTTGTTTTCAAACTACAAGAAAATAGAGAATGGCTTTGTGTCAATGGCAAATGAAAAGAAATGCAATGTTTTAGGAACTGGTGATGTATGCCTAAGGTTTTCCTCTAGTTCTGTGCTTACTTTGAAGGATGTTAGGCATGTTCCTGATTTACGTTATAACTTGATTTCTTGTGCATCTCTAGAAAATGATGGTTTGGAGGAAAAATGGGGTAAAGGGGTTATGAAAATTTTGAAAGGGTCTCTTGTTGTTTTTTACTGCTGAAAAACAAAATAATTTGTATGTTTGTCATGCTGAACCTGTGCTTGATTCTGTTAACTCTGTGATAGGTGATAAATCTGTTTTATGGCATAATAGATTAGGTCACATGAGTAATAAAGGATTAGAAATTTTGCATAAAGGAGGTCACTTTGGTAGTGATAAAATATCCCACATCCCTTTCTGTGAATCTTGTGTGCTAGGAAAACAACATATGGTTACTTTTCCTACTTCTTTTTTTCCTAATCAGTCTAAGTGCACTAGTGTACTTGAATATTTGCATGCTGATGTGTGGGGTCCCTCTAGTGTGCCTACGCATGGAGGGAACTAATATTTTCTTTCCATAATTGATGATCATTCTAGGAAAGTTTGGGTTTTACTCATGAAACAAAAATCTGAAGTTTTTGATAAAGTTAAAAACTAGAAAATTATGATTGAAAACCAAACGGGAAAGAAAATTAAAACTCTTAGGACAGACAATGGTCTTGAGTTTTGTAACAAACAATTGAATGATTTGTGTACTACTTAGGGTATTAAAAGGCATAAATCTGTTCCCTACGGTTGCTGAAAGGATGAATAGAACTCTCTTAGAGAGGGTGAGGGCTATGTTGGCCACATCTGGGCTCTCCAAGAAGTTCTGGGGAGAAGCTGTTTGTACTGCGGCCTATTTGATTAATAGGTCTCCTTCTGTTCCCTTAGGAGGGAAATGCCCTGAATTTGTGTTCACGGGCAAACCTCTTGATTTAAATAATTTGAGAATTTTCGGGAGTGATGGCTATGTGCATCAAAAGATTGATAAGTTAGAACCTAGATCTAAGAAATGTGTTTTCTTAGGATATCCTGAAGGAGTAAAAGGTTATAGGCTTTGGAATAAGAGTAAACCATGGTTTAAGGTAGTGATAAACAGAGATGTTGTTTTTAATGAAAATGAATTTCCTTGTTTACCTTTACATGTTCCTATTCCTGAAAATGATGCTCAAAATGAGGTGGAGCAAATGCCTATTATTAATCAACCCAAATCACTTTCTGAAGAGAAGAAAAATTGAATGATATAATTATTGAAAATCAAGATGAGATTATTCCAAATGAGGTGGAGCATGATATGCAGGAAATAGATAACATGCATGATTTGAATGATTATCAACTCACTAGGGATAGAAATAAAAGAACCATTAGGAAACCTGAAAGATATAGAGATTGCAATTTGATTGATTGTAATATGTCTGAGTTTGCCTTTAATGTGTTTGAATCCCTTGAGTGCAATGAACCTAAGACTTATAAAGAAGCATTAAGGTCAAAATATTCTGAAGAATGGATTAGTGCTATGAAGAGTGAGATGGAATCCCTAAAAATTAACCAAACATGGAAACTTGTTCCTAAACCTGCTAGTTGTTCTGTAGTGAACTGTAAGTGGCTGTTTAAGGTGAAACAAGAATCTGAAAGTGTTAGGTTTAAGGCTAGGTTAGTAGCTAAGGGATTTACTCAAAAAGAGGGAATTTATTATGCTGAAATTTTTGCTCATGTTGTCAAATTCACTACTGTTAGAATTATGCTTGCTTTAGTTGCTCATTTTAATTGGGAATTAAAACAAATAGATGTAACTACTACTTTCTTGCATGGTGATCTTGATAAAAATATTTATATGCACCAACCTGAGGGCTTTGTGGACCCTAAATTGCCTGATCATGTGTGTTTGTTAAAAAAGGCTTTGTATGGTTTAAAACAATCACCTAGGCAATGGAATATTAGATTTGATAAATGCATGCAATTTTTAAAGTTTAAAAGGAGTTCTGCTGATCATTGCCTGTATTATAAGAATATAGACTATGTGTCTGTATTTCTTGTAATTTATGTGGATGACATGTTGATTGTTAGTCCTTGTTTGAAGTCTATTGAGCATGTTCAAAAATGTCTTTGTGAAAATTTTGACATGAAAGACTTAGGTGATGCTAAAAGAATCCTAGGCATGAATATTATTAGGGACAAAAACAAATCTACTCTAGTTTTAAACCAAAGTTCATATGTTGAAAAAATTTTGAGTAAATTTGCTATGTCTAATGCCAAATCTGTGAATGTGCCTCTTACTTCCCATTTTGTGTTAAGTAATGATCAATCTCCCAATACTGAAACTGAAATAAATGATATGAAGAAGGTGCCATATTCGAATGCTATAGGATCGGTCATGTATC